TATGACTTCTTATACACCACTTATCAACACCCTAGCAACCACCAAGCAACATTCAAACACTCTAGCAAACCCCAGCACACCTTATTTACAACTTAACAATGCCCTAGCAACCACCAAGCAACACCTGTGCACTCTAGCAATCTCAGCACATTTTATTGACCACTTAACAACACTCTTAACAACCACCAAGCAACACCTGAACACTCTAAAAGTCCCCAGAACATCTTGTCCACCCCTTAACAACACCCTAGCAACCATCAAGCAACACCCATACACTCTAGCAACCTCAGCACATTTTATTGACCACTTAACAACACTCTTAACAACCACCAAGCAACACCTGAACACTCTAAAAGTCCCCAGAACATCTTGTCCAACCCTTAACAACACCGTAGCAACCATCAAGCAACACAGGAACACTCTAGCAAGCCCCAGAACATCTTGTCCACCCCTTAACAACACCCTAGCAACCATCAAGCAACACCCATACACTCTAGCAACCTCAGCACATTGTATCCACCACTTAACAGCACCCTAGCGACCACCAAGCACTTCCTGAACACTTTAGCAATCCCCATAATATCTTAACCACCACTTAGCAACCCACTAACAACCACCAGGCAAGGCTTGAACACTCTAGCAATGCCAAGAACGTGGTATCCACTACTTTTCAACACCCTAGCAACCACCAAGCAACACCCAAACACTCTAAAAATGCCTAGAACGTATTATAGACCACTTAGCAACCACCAAGCAACACCTGAACACTCTAGCACATTGTATTCACCACTAAATAACACCCTAGCAACCATGTAGCACACACAAACACTCTAGCAACACCCAGAACATCATATACACCGCTTTTCAACACCCTAGCAACCACCAAGCAACACCCAAACACTCTAGCAACCCCCAGCACGTCTTATTTACCACTTAACTACACCCTAGCAACCACAAGCAACACCTGAACACTCTAGCAATGCCTAGAGCATTTTAAACACCACTTAGCAACCACAAGCATCACCTAAATACTCTAGCAACCTCCCGGTAATGTCCTGATGTGTAATTGCTGTAATTTTGTAATTATTAGTATAACAGCAGCAAGTGATCTGGTTTTCTGCAGCGAGTGTGTGAGTATGAAGAGATTGTCTTCGTGTTATGCTTTACCCCGTGGATCAGTGTGTCAGCGCTGACCTTCATGTCATTCTGTGCCTCTGTGTTTTTCTCAGCTGAGACGAAGATTTGCTTCAAATATTATCATGGTTTGAGTGGAGCCCTCAGAGCCACAACACCCAGTGTGACGGTCAGGAACACGTCCGCCTCTGTGAGTAACACACAAACACACACACACATGGATGCACACAAACACACACATATGGAGGCACACGATCACACATCCGCTGCGTAAAACATATGCTGGATAAGTTGGCGGTTGGAAATGTAAATATATTTCTTTCTTTTTTATTTAAATATAATATAATATATATTAATATATATTTTATTATGAAAAAAATCCACAGACTGGTTCAAAGCTCCTGAATTTTTTACTTCAGTTATTCTTTACAACTGCAGAGTATTGGGCCTTTTCTTCAGGACATTCTTTTAAGACTACAGGGAATGGCAAAAAAAAAAAAAACTGCTGCTGCTTTGAATGAGACTGACTTCTATTCATCTATTGATCTATATCCATTAAAATAAACAACCTAAGCCTAAATGTAAAATACAGTTAAAAAAAAAACTGAATCTGTTGAAACATCGATCTGAAGGCGGCTTGGATTGTAGCTGGACATTATTGGACTTCGCTGACAGGAACAATGAACAACTGTTCACTTCTGAAACACCTCCGAGTCTCGCTCCTACACAGACGCTCGTCAGTTATAAAACTCTCGCTGTCATGACTGTGTTTGTCCACCAGATGCCACTGTAGTTCGCCAGCAACCCCCAGCGGACTACAGTGGCTTTAGAACTACATTTCCATACATTCTTTCGCACACACACCCGGTCTCTCATCTACACTGATTTACAACCACAGCTGTCTCCGTTCTCCGTGATTACCTGGACTATATATTCAGTCATTCATCCTCTGGTTGTCAGTTGGTCGTTGTCATTGTTGGTATGTTGTTCCTGATCTTGCTCTTGCTCTTGTATCTTGTCTTAGTGTTAAAGTCTAGTCCCAGTTTAATCTGTTTGAGTTGCTCGTTTGTTTGTTTATTTTGTTAATTTGTTACTTTGATTTTTTGGATCTTGTCACTGTTGCTGCACTTTCACATTAAAGATCTGCACTTGGATTCTACACCCGTTTTTGTTCCTGTTTCAATCCTGAAACGTGACAGTCGCAAGACGTAAATTTGGAAAACTATGCCAATCTTATAAAGTATACAGGCATAATTTGTGAATTAACAGAATTGTGCAACTCTGAAACAGTACGAGTCGCAGATGTGAGGCACGCGCGAGCTGGTTATAACTTTAATCATCGTTACCTTTACATTTGCGTGACTGT